TTAAATTTTAAAATGAAAATTATAAAAAAAATTAATAAATGTATAATAACTCTCAAAAAATTTTTGAATTAAAAACAAAATTAAACTAAATAAACTAATAAATTTATAATGATTCTGAAACATTTTTTAAATAAAAAAATTAAATTAAAACAAATTAACAAAAAAAATTTAATTAAAAAACAATATGTAATTTAAAAAATTTAAATTAAAAACAATTAAATAAAAAATATACATATAAAAAAAATTAAAAAGATTTATTAAACAATTAAATTAAAACAAATTAAATTAAAAAAATTAAATAAAAAATTTTATTTAAAAATTACGTTAAAATATTACATTTTTTTAAATTAAAAATTAAAATTCTAAAAATTTAATAAATTTATTATAAACATTTCTTAAATAAAAAAAATAAATTAAATAAAAAAAAAAGTGATGATTATCATTTAATCAAATAAAAGTAAGACAATTAAGGTCGATTTTTAATAAAAGAAATGTGTGTAATATTGAACTTAGGAACGAATACTAAAAATGTACAACACGTACAAATAAAGTGCAGTCAAAAACTGTAGGAAGCACGAAAATTATATTTTAAATAATTTAAAACAACAAAAAAGCTACTTAGACAATTTGTAGACTTCGAAAACTAAAAGTACAGTACAATTTTGAAAGTTGCATATGTTTAGGCGCTTTTTAAAAAAAAATAATTTTTTAATCAACTTTCATGCTCCTAGACTCACAAATACCGGTTTCTAAGTCTTTTATTTTTTATTATTTTTTCAATATATTTTATCTTACTTCTTGTTAGCTCTGCAGGACGGAGTTAACGCCAAACTAATTAGTTAGTTTAAGTTAGTTCTACTACTAGTGGATGTCATTTTGTATTCCAAACTAATATAACCACAATTGTCAATGGAGTTAGTTCCGTTAAGTCTTTATGCGGTATTACTAGGTGTTACATAACAAGGCACTATAAGGAACTCAGCCTAAAAGTATGCAGATAATCGAGTTTTTCGAGTTACTTACTTGCATATTCGAGATATTACTTACACCTAGACTGGGCTAGAAAAGTCTGACGTAGTTCTAGCAATAAATATTTACAATTAAGTCAATCAAGTTTACAATCAGTTGACTTATTCTTAGTTATATAACGAATTTTAAATTTAATCAATTTAAACCATACCCACTGAGGTGCCGTTGTACTGCCTAGACCTATGTCTGTGTCTAGATAGTTTCATACTTGCTAGCCTCCCCTACTAAACTAGAGCTTAACACTACTTATACGAAGCGCACGCATCCCCAATACCTGTTTGCCGTCTACACCTCAATACTGTTCAAACTGCCCGAGGACATGTTGTCGTTGTGGCTGCCCAGCCGACCGCGCTTCATCATGGCGCGTGCCGGCATCGGCGAACGCTGCACGCGCGGACTGCCCGGCACGATGGGTATGCCTACGCCGCCATTGTTGTTGTTGGTGTTACCGGAGGAGCGTCGTGTGCGGCGCAGCGACGGTATGCGCGTGGGCAGGCCATCGATGTTCATGGCTGCGTCGTGCGGTTGCGTCGCATTGGCCGGCACTGCGGTCGCCGTGTAGTGCAGATTACGCGCGCTGCGCTCCAGTGTGCGGCGCTGTTGCTCCATGGCGGGCGTCGGCGGCGATTGCGCATGCTGCTGCTGCTGGTGGTGTTGCTGGTACAGATGGTGCGCGTTGTGGTGACCGCTGTGGTTGTTGTTCTGATGTGGTGGCACCGGCGGCGGATGTTGGCCGGCAGCCGATGCGTTGGCATGATGATGATGGTGTGGCATGTAGTCGCCGCGTTTATGAATTAGTGTGGGTGTGCCGGGTGGCGGTGGATGGTATGGCTGCGCGTGATGCAGGCCCTGATGTGAGCCTAGATGTGCCTGTGAATTATGTAAAGATTGAAAGGATGAGGTGGATGAATGAGACGAGCTCGATTTCGTGTGCAAATGCATGGCGTTGGTGTTGTGGTTGTAATGAGCAGTGGCATGATTTGCATTTGTTATTACTGCGTTCGGCGCGGTGCCTGCTTGTGCTTTATTACTGGTCATTTTCGGTAGGGTTGTATGCGACGGCTGGTGGTGCTGCTGCGGCTGTTGGTTGTGTTGTGTGGTATGAGGCTTCTGATTCGGCAGCGGCGGCAACGGTTTCGACAGTGGCGAAGTAGCGTCGATTGCATTGAAGATGCCCTCGCTGGCTTCGAGCGTCTCACAGGAAGAAGAAGAGCGCGGTGGCGGTGTGTATGGCTCGGCTTCGTCCGCATTGGTGGCGACAGTTTGTTGCTGGTGTAAACTATGGCTGCTGCTCGTATGCGGGTGGGTCGTGTTTAGATTGCTGGCACTGGCTGAATTGTTGGGACTTTGACCCGCGTGGCTGCTGTTGCTGTTGCTGTTGGGCAAGAAGCGCAGCTCCATCACGTTGTTGCGATTCTAGAACAGTTCACGCTGATATTTCTAAGCTAGTAGCAGCAAATGGCTAAGAGTCGCACTAGTAATACTTAAATTCATAACTATGCTAATGTGGGGATGGGTGCAATGAAGAGGTACAAGCGGAGGAATGGCGCAGGGCGTAGTAGAATAAAGGCCAGTAAAAGAAAGTTAGTTTTAAGAGAGGGGAAAATGCTATGCGTGTTTTTGAATGGGCTTCTATAATAATAGAGAGACGGTGCTGTACTGGTGTTAGTGCGCAGGAAAGCGGAGCTTTAAAAGCTAATGTATTTTAAAATATAGAATCCTAGTTAACTACTTAATTCAAGAAAATTCTTTCTCTTCAGATCAATTCTTTGCAACCCATCATTTGAGAATAAAAAAGAAATTGCCTACATTCTACCAATAGTTCGAAAACAAAAAAGTCGCCTAAGGATAGGTAGGTTTGCAACCAACATGAAGTAGATGTCACCTTTATTTAAAGGGTAACTTTAAGATATACACATATCACCAATTTCTTTAATGTTGTTGCCCTCCAAGTGTTCTACAAATAGTTTAAAATAAGAAAGCCGGCTAAAAGTAGGCAATAGTAAAAACATATGTTCTCAGAGCAATTTATCGCAAACCCTTGATAAACCTTTGGTCAAATGCCTGGTAAAAGTAATGTATCTAACATTTACTGTTAAAGTTCTGTTAAATGTTAGTGCTAAAGCTAGGCTAACCTGAAAATAATTTCGAAAACTCTGTTGGGTCTTCTTAAAACTAGAGTTTTTCCTAACTATAGATCTGACGTAAGGGGATAAATGCACAGAATATTTGTTAAAACTTAAAAAGTTGCATAAATATATACATAAATACATACAGATAATATACAATATGGGTTTATATACAATAAAAGTTGTTTATATTTACAAATAAATTATATAATTATAGGTTATAGCAATAGACTTTATACAAAAGATCGTAAATGCCAAATTGAAAAATATATTAATGTTTTTTTTTTTTTTTTTTTTTTTTTTTTTTTTTTTTTTTTTTTTTTTTTTTTTTTTTTTTTTTTTTTTTTTTTTTTTTTTTTTTGATTGCAGAAGAGTTGCTGGAAAGGCTGAAGTAGTCGAGATTGATACGATTTAGGTATTTAAGTAGTTACATAGTCGAGGCACCACCAGCTGTGTTGAAAGACATACATACAACCCCACTAGAAATGACTATAAAGTACAAGCAAAAATTTTGTCTAGAAAATTTTGTAAAAATTAAAATATAGAGCTCGAAAAGAAACACATTTTACATATCGACAACTCGAATACGTAGTAAAGCAGTAAGATATTGCATAATACGCTAGTCGTAGATAAAAGTGCGACTGTGTAACTGAGGCAAGCCAAACCATGGCTCATTTTTCAATATATACAAGCGCTTGGCGGGGCTCTACATACCTTGTCGGCTTCCTGCGCCAACGGATTGGGCGTGATGTTCATGCGTGGTATGACACCGTTGAGACGGTGACCGGACTTGTGATGCGCCGCCACGCCCAGCACTGAGGGTGTCACAAAATCGGCCTGTATGTGGTCCAACTGTGGTTTGTCTTCATCTAGAGTAAAGAAACGTTGCAGACATTGCCTAAATTGTCGTATTAACGATGAAAGTTTAACCTTACCTTCTGGTGTCGCCGGGCTGCGTCGTTTCATGCACAGGAAGGCAGCGACTATGGCTACGATGAGGAGTATACCGCAGCCGGCGATGCCCGCCACTATCGGATATTTCGGCTTGTCGTTCTCCTTGGTGTTTACAGGCGTGACTGCTGGCACAGGCATTGGTGTGGTTGCCAGTTCTATGTCGAAAATATACATATTTAAAATGACTTTAAACGGAAAATGATTTTTTGGGCACTTACTCTTCGTTTTGCCCTGTAATATGGCGCTGAACTCAGACGCAGCCAGTGCATTAAAGGACTGCAGCTTGAACTCGTATGCGGTGCCCGCTTCCAACAAGTCGATCTTAAATTTCCGCGTATGTTGACCGTCTACAGTCGCTTTGAGGTATTCACCCGCTGAAGAGGCGAGTCGGTAGTAGGCGTAAAAACCATCCGGCACATTTATCGGATTCGCCGGCAGCGTCCAATGTATCATAACTGCAGTTTCTGAAAGCGGTTCCACGCGCAACAGCTCTGGCGCAGGCAATGTGGCTTTATTGGGGCCTAAAGCTTCGCTACTTTGCAAAAAGAACTTCGCTGAAGTGTTGCCCTCCTTATTGTCGTTGTTGGAGTAAACAGCGATAATGCGGAAACGGTAGAATCGGTCAGGTTTCAAGCCGGAAACTGATGAGGTGAAATTCTTCACGCCTTCAAAAACACGGTCGCGTTTGCCATATGGTATGTCTTCGTTTGTGGTCTGCCAATTTTCACGCGGTATTTTGCGACTCGAGTCACCGAGCATGCGATACTGCACCTTGAAAAACTGTATGGGCAGCCCCTCGTTCTTTGGCACATACCAGCGCAACATTACCGAATCGTCGGACAATCGCGTCACGTTGGGACGAGAGGGAGGAATCATGTTAGCTGCAAGAAAGTACGTACTTTATGAATTATCGTCTTTTTCATAGAATATGGCTACGCTTTTTTTGATAAATACACATCTCTTTTGAAATGTTTAAGTGAACATCATTTTTACAAAATTATTTTGTTAGAGACACTGCCAAATCTTTAGTTTTACATATCCGATAATTTACTCTAATGGCACCAAAAGGAAAGAAATCGAAGAAGCAGCGTGAAATCGATTGGGCGGCCGATGCTTACTTCGACAAGAACCGCTCAATGATCTACATCGAACACACGTTAGAGTGCCCGATATTCACGACGAAAGCTGAGGAGTTTGCCGCTTATGTAGCCCAAGAAGCGCCAAATCGCATCATACAGTTGGTACGGAATCATAACGGCAAAGTGCCGCCAAGGGATGGTGCTTTCGAGATTGGATTTTCGCAGAACGCGCGCACCTCCGTGCATCAGCTGTGGTCCGGCATTGACAAAGGTCCACCAAGGCGTGACAAATTCCCACCGGATTACGAGTCTCTCATGCAAGAAATACATAAGATTTTGAAAAAATTCTATCCCGATGTAGTGGAAAAGAACCCCTTGGAGGGCATGGAGGACGACGACGCTGCGCCGGCGTATGAGTGAAAGCGCTTAAAAATTTGTTAAAGCAACAAAAACATTCAGTGTGAATAATTTATAATCCATGACTTTCGAAACTATCCAACAACAATAGTGAAACTTTGCAAGCCAATCAAATGCCCTTCCGATGGGGTTTTTTCTAAAGAACAGTTTGAACACCAGTCTAACAGTTTGAGTGACTATAAGTAATTCAAAAGTCATCAGCAAGTTTCAGCTTTTCGCCGCCAGATGGCGCAACAGCAGCGTCAAGCGTTGCCACTACAAAATCTTTATATTTATAATATAAAAATGCTTTTACATTTGCAATAAAATAAATTGCGACAGACACCAAATATGTACACGGTTAGCCATTACTTTTACAGTTACGTGCCTTTGTGACCCCTTTGTCTTCTCACCCAAACTTATTTTTATGCATCAAATCAATTTTAAGAATTTGACGACACTGGCAACGCTGCAAAGCAGAAAGAAACTCAAAACATGGCCGACAAGCAATCACTCGTCACTCGCCACTCGCACTCGTTTTCTGTAGCTCGTTGTGAGTGGATTTACCTGGAGTGTGTGACGGCGCTTTTCCAAGTGATTTTCTCTATTTGTGAAAAGAATTCTAGAAAATTAATGAATTCCTCAAGAAATTTTGTGCTGTGATGTGCATATGAAAGCATCAACAACTAATTACATCGAAGAGTTCAATATTAATTGTGCGAAAGCACTCACGGCCGCAGCTATCCACTTAAGTGCAGTGTAGCAACAACAATCACATTAGAGTGCTATTAAAAAGTATAAAATTGAGAATAATTTCTGATTTTCATAGCTACATTTTTTTGGAGTCAAAAGCAATTCATCTCGTTAAACGCCAGTTTCGAGTTGAGCTGTGCGCACTACGAAATTATAAGAACAACTAGCATAGTTGGGTGCTTACGAATCAGAAATTCTCCCTGTTGGATTGTAGAAGTTCGTCGTCAACATAGCGAAGAAATCGCGTCAGATGTCCACTGGCGTGGCGGTGGGTGGCGGCGGTGATGGCACTGTAACTGTGGTTACCACCACAGCGAACGGCGCAGAAGAGCACAATGCCGCCAATACGTCCACCGGCAGTGGGGGTGCCGGCGGCGCAGTAGGCAAGTCAGGCCAAATAACTTTAACGCCACGTTTCACGCAAGAAGAGAAGGAGATACTCTACAGTCTGTTTCATGAGCATGAAGAAGTCATCGATATTAAATTCAGAAAGAAACAGCGTTCCAAATACTCGGTGCGTGATGCCTGGGAAAAAATTGTGCACGAATTCAATACACATCCGGGTGTTAGCGCTATGCGTAACTTGAAGCAAATCCAAAAATTCTGGCTCAATGCAAGGTGAGTAGAAGATGCCAAGCCAGAAGACCTTTTTTATATGGCTTCTACACTTACGGGGCAGTCGCTGACCTGGGGCCAGCAGCTGCTCTAATTCGTGCACCTGTTACACGCAAATGCAGGCCACTCGGCGGGCTGCACAGAAATGCATTCCTCCCGCCAACGTTGCCATTAGCAGTTGTGTTTGTGTCTCTGCCTGTTTTTACATATGTGTGTGTGTGTAGTGAAACATGTGTCGTTAAGCAGCTCATTGAAAGCCGCATTCCAACTCATAACAAACAAATTCTGTTTATTTAGTGGGTCCGATGGACTCAAAACCCCAGCAAGCATAAAAAATACCTCAAAACACAAACAAGTCGAGCGAAAAGTCATGCGCAAAGCACAAACGAGCCAAATGTGCACACGTAAAAGAGCTGACAACAACGAAATCGTCTAATGACGAGTCATGACGAAAGTATCTGAGCGCTGTATCTCGCTCCGCAAATTCATGCGACCAGCCATTCGCTCATGCCCTCATTCATTGTCGTGCGGCAGATACTCGTCTTTCGAGTGCAATTAAAAATGGCGGCAAATGACAAGCGGCAGAATATCTCAAAAAAGGCATGTACATAATATCCCAAAGGTATAAAGTATCTCAGATAGTTGGTAAACAAAGAAGTGACTGAAGAAAGCCTTTCTGCTAATTCAAATATGTAAGAATCAGTGAACAAAAATAATGTATTCGCTCCGAATATCAAAACTAGTTGATTCCTGAGTATAAAATAGCAGTGGAACTCCACTCGCCAAAGCAAGCATATGCGCTCTTGCCTTGAGCAGCTCGTTTATGGGGTTGAATAGCTGAAATTGCCAGTTTGGTTTGTGTGTAAGTGATTGTTGCGTGTGTGTGATTGTTGGCGTGAGTGAAGTTATTTGTTTATTTATTTAACGAGTGATAATTTTTATATTTCTAATTATGTTGCTGTTGCTTCTAGACTACGCAAACAGTACCCCTTCCGTCCAAGTGGGCAGAAGGACGCAAACGGTGCACAAGCAAGCATCGATTCGGATCGCCCAGAAGTAGTAAATCATGAGATTAAGGATGAGCCGGATTTCCAGGTCACCAACATAGACCCCGATGAGCATGGCAGCCAGAATGAGGCTTTCGAAGAGATCGAGATGGATACTAGTGACGGTGTGGGACAGATAGAGCAGGAACCTATTGATCCACTACAGCAGCAACAGCAACAACTACAACAGCAGCACCAGCAGCAAGTGATCCAACAGCATGTACAACAACAACAGCAGCAACAACAACAGACCATACAAACACAGCAGATATCGGTGGATCAAATCAGCGCCGAAAAGCTGACACTAAACGATTTGCTACAATTCAAAACAACGCGCCCACGCGAGGACATCATTCTGCAGATAAAACATCCCGTTGATTCGAACAGTAAGTTACCAATAGCAATTCCTCAGTCAATGTTGTCTAACCGCTTTACACATTTATTTCTCGAACAGCCACCCATATCACTATACCATCGCCGACGCGCATCACTATACCCAGCCAGCACCAGCCCCAGCATCACACCATCACCGCCATGCCCGCGACCGCGTACAATCAGCAGATCATCAGCGAGATCAAGCCACAGCAAATAACACTTGCCCAATATCAGGCGCAGCAGTTGCAGCAACAGCATCTTGCCCAGCACCAGCTCGCAGTTGCTGCACAGCAGCAGCAGCAACATCAACAGCAGCAACAACAACAACAACAGCAGCAGCATCAAATGAAAATGCAATTGCAATCGCCAGCGACCGCACAGTTCGCGACTGCAACGCCGACATTCACTTGCGCAACACTGCACGCGCTGCCCGTGGCCACGGCACCGGCGCCGGCACCCGTCGTGCCGACGGTTAGTGTAAGCAATGCCGCAGCAGCAGCCACGGCGCCGGGAAACACCACCATCACGGTGGAGTCATTCGAGGAGAAAGTGCAGTACTTCCGATTGAAGGAGGCCGAGCTGCGCTACAAGGAAACGCAAGTGACGTTGGAAAAGAAGAAAATAGAGCTAAGTCGTGCACAGGAAGATTTGAAGCATTTGCGCGAGGTGCACCGTCTGCAGGTGGAAGAGCTGAAGATGAAGATACGTATCTTGCAGGAAGAAGAGAAGCTGTTGCGCAAGAGCCCAAGCTCAGTGCAAGTATAGGACGTGGCCAATTGGCCATAGCTATGTGGGGGAGTTGAAGGGAGGAGAGAGAGAATTGATTATTCATTATTGGTTATCTAATAAGATATCGGTTAAGTTTTTCTTTGATACTAGAAATAAAATTTTAAAATCACATTTACATTTACACAAATACTAGTTTTGTAAACCTAAAGCAAAAACAAGTTCAAATTGTTAAATTTTGGTATATGTCTTCATGGAATTAAGTTGTACGAGGAAGTATTGCTGAGTATTTCGTAAAGGAATGTAATTTAAATTAACTGTAATGCGTCGGAGCGACGAAAATAAATCGAATTGTATATAATAAGCTATTTATCTCGAATAAAGAGAAAACTTTTACGAAACAAAACAACTAGTAATTCAGAATATTTAATAACTTTCCTAAATTCATAGAGATGGGAATTTTACTCACGTATTTTCATGTGTTTCCGTTTGCCCTTGTTTTTGTTGCCGGTATGCTCATAAGGCATGCGTATTGGCACGGAGCCTAGAGGAGCTGAGTCTTCGCCCTGTATTTGCTTGGGGTTCACTTCCAAGTAACTGCCGTCGCTTACCTGCAATAAATAAGAGTGTTTACACAGGAATGCCACCATAACTGAGATTTGTCGCATTTACCTCGCCCACTTCGTTCTTTGCAAAACACTGTACAATGCCCGCATGGCGCTTCTGCACATGTCGGATAACCAAACGACGGTCTTCATGAAATGTCTCATTATCCAAAGAAGTGTCTTCGCCATTAATTAACCAGTAAATTTGGGGGAAAGGATTGCCGGCTGCCGAGCACTCCAATTCCAGTTGATCGCCTTCATTTGTTCGTGTCTTGGCTGGACCCCGCAGTATTTGTGGCGCTTCCAAGACAATAAACTTTATGATTTGCACCAAAGCAGGCGCAATACCGTTGTCTAAACGACACACGTACGAACCCTGATCCTCGGGCATCACTTCAGATATCTGCAAACCGTATGGCAACACTTTTGTTCGATTGTTGTAGATGTTAATTACATTCGGGCTGCTCCAAACGGCCTCCGGTGGTGGCGAACCGACACCAGGGCATTCGAGTACGGCTGTTTCGCCCGGACGCGCCGTCACCTGTGACACTGGCACATTAAGAAAGTAGGGCGGCGTGCGATCAATATAATCAACGCGCAAATCTATGCGTTGAGGCAATCTCAACTCCACGCCAGTGATGGCGTTCATTGCCGAGCAAGTGTAGTTACCGGAATCTTTCGATGACACTGTGTTAAGTATGAGCGCACCATTTGCTGAGGGCAACACCTCGGTCTGTGGTACTTTCTCGCCGTTGCGGAAGAAGCTCCACACCGCTGGCGGATTCGAGCTCACTGTGCCGCAACGTATTAATATGCAATTCTTCGGCGCTACGCTCCAGCGTATTGCATTGCGACTATAACCGTTTGAGTTGTCGATGCTTATGGATACGAGTGTCAGCCGTGCGGGTGTGGAAGCAATTGCGGCCGATCCAACCCAGGCCACACATTGGTAATCGCCCAAAGTTTCGGACGAGACAAATACACGCAAACGAGACGTCAGGTTTTCATTTACAATATTGTGGCCATCCTATGATAGTGGAGTATAAGGAAATAGATAATTTATAGTTTAACTAGAAAAGGTCATTGATACCGACCTCGCCGCCATGAAGATAATTGTAGTTCATAGCGTCCGTGGCACGTGCGCTTGTGTGACGGAACCGCCATTCCAAGCGGTCGGGAGCCAAATTTAATTCGCATTCAAAAACAACCTCATCACCTTTGGGCGCAACTGCTGATTCGGGAGAACGCACAATGTGTACACCCAGTGACGAGGATTGTGAAGCCGCGGATAGCTTTAGTTGATTACATATGAGTAAACTCAACAAGAATGACAGCTGCCAAGACCCAGTTATTCCTGTTGTTGCAGCTGATGAGAATGGTGCGTGATTCGCCATGGCCCAACGCCAAACTGGTGTTCTAAAACCGGATGTATAAGGCTAAAATAAAAGAGAGAAAAACTTCGATTTTTTAGAGATTTAATGAAATTCGAATGAATTGATGAATGAATTAATAGAGGAAGTGCCTTATAAATAATTAAACACTACTGCAATGTACTTCAAAGTATATATGCGCAGCTTGTTCACAAATGGAGGATCAATACATTCGCTGCTGCTGTTACAGAAGTAAAGTAGGTATGTATGTATGATGCCATGGCATACGTACATAAACTTCATTTTAGCTTTTACCCCACTAAACGAACTTGGTACGAGCGCATCATAAGTCCGATCATACGCAACTCTTCGGTTGGCCACCAGCTGCCATATACAGCATTCCAATTGTCACAAATGACAAGCCATTGATTCCGAGTTACGAA